GGTCATTTGTTTTAAGCTTTTGGCTTGAGATTCAGAGACATTCCTCCCTCTTTCAAGGCCATCTTTGCTTTTTTTTTTTTTTAAATTATCATCTCCTGTCCCAACTCATGCTGTTTGAAGTTATCTGCTCCAAGTACAAGCAGCATTCTGCAAACACTTGTTTTTCCCTGGGCTGTTCTTCAGGATTTATGGGCCAGCTCCTTTCTGTGCTGGGAGGTGGGGAGTCCCTGTGGCTGTGAACCAGCCTTCTGCTGGACCCACTGTCCTTTTGTTGGAGAAGGTAACCTTGAGCGCCCTTCCTCCAAGTGTGCTCATCAGACCAGCAGCGCAGGCATCACCTGGGAGGTTGTCTGAAATGCAGATTACTAGCCCTCGCCCCAGACCTACTGATCAGAAACCCATGGGGTAGATTCCAGCAATCTGTGTTCTAACAAACTCTCAAGATGATTCTGATGTGAGCTAGGAGAACTTTGAGACTCACCCAGTAGGTCTGTGATGGGGGCCTGAGAATTTGCATTTCAGACAACCCCCCAGGTGATGCTGGTTGAGGGACCTTGCTTTGAGAACCACTGGCTTTGAGAACCCCCGAGAGGCCTTGGGAGACTTTCACCTTGTTTCCTGGCTAGAGCCTCGCAGCCAACTTTAGGGAGCTGGAGCTGGGACAGAGTGGTCAGAGGACAGTGGGAAGGAAGCTTCTGCATCTTAAACCTGAACATGACCTCCAGCAAGCGCTGACCGTGACTGATGCTGCTGAACCTGATGTCTCGATGCCGATCATAAGAAATAGTTTCTTTTATTGTGTCCCTCCTACACCGCTTATGAGATTTACATGCATTCTCTCTTCTCGTACCTGACTCTCAATTTTCTGCTTACTACTGGGCTACAGTAGCTCAAATAATCCAGAATGGCATTTTTTTTTTCTGGTTTGGAAAAATTTCAGACCTGTTTTTGTTCATTTTTCCAGGTTATGTTTTCATTTGCTTTTTGAGATGTGGGTTCAGTTATCTGCTCTTATTATTTAAGTCACCTTTGAGTTCTCATTTTTCCCAGCCTCAGTTTCCCAAAGTGAAAAGTAAACTTTTCCACATAGGTTATAAATACCAGATGCAAGTTCCTGTCACTTAGTAAATATGTAATAAATGTTAATGTCTGTACTGCTGGTCGTTCTTAAGCCCCAAATAGGTGAGCACAGACTGCTCCACCCTGAACAATATGCTGAAATTAGGACAAAGATAAAGCCCCTAGGAGAAGTTTGGAGAAGTCTTGGGAATGTGGGAAAACAGAGCAGGAAAACAGAAGGTGGGGTGGGGGTGGGGTTGGCTGCAGGTCAGAAACCAAGGCTAGACATAAACGTGTTGCTGACTGAAGCTGGGTTCAAGGTGAGTATCATGGAATCCAGAGGAAAGAGCAGTTTGCCTGAGGATGGAGATGAGAAATGAAAAGTGAATCTGGGTCCTCAGACAGGCAGCAACAGCAAGGACTCAGCTGGCGCAGCCCGTGCCAGGCGGGCCCTTCTGCAGACGTGTCTTGGGTGGACTTGAGAAAGGCTGGACACTCAGGGTACCAGGAAGAGAAGTTCTTGTTAGGCTTGCCTGGCTGCCTTTAGTTATTTAGAGGAAATGTGGACTTCAGGGGCCTTGGAAGTGCCCCATTCCTCCGGCTAGGACAGTGCAGGCACCGGACACGTATGACCAATGCTGCATCTCACTGGGACCTGGAGCGGGGCTGAGTCCGCATCTGTGACTCTAATTTGGCCACAGGAGGAGGTACCATAGTCTTGGCCCTGTGTTCACAATGGCTGGACTGGAGATCAAGGGAAAGCAAGGATTCTTCATTCCTCTCTAAGGAAGAACTACCAGTTGTCAGACCCCCCCCGCCCCCCAGCCAGAGGTAGAACCAGCCTGGAGGTGTGGTGTTTCAGTGAGGTTGTTATCAGCTCTGTATCAAGGGGACTCTTAAATGGCAATGCTAGGTGGAGTGAGATGCCTTTAAAGGTAATGAGGCTCATAATGGGGGAGCGTTCTGCTTTGGGCTGAAGGCTGAGCCCCCTCCTGCTCTAGAGTCTCTTCTCAGACTTCCCCACCCGCGGTGGTTGGGGCAGTGGCAAGGTGCAGGCTTAGCCCCACTGCTCGGGGCTCTGGGAGCCGGGGGCTGTGGAGGGAGCAGTTATCTGAAACCACAAAACCCAAGAGCAAGCAGAGAGTTGAGGTCTGTATCCTATGATATTTTATCAGGGGAGTGCCAGAAATGCATGAAAAGCCAGGGACTGCCGGTGGAGAAAGGCAGGAGAAGGCACGCCTGAGAAAATGGCCAGGATGCAGGCATCGCCAGAGCCCGAGCAGCTGCCCTTGACTTGGGCGCGAGCAGGGTGCGCGTGAGGGCTGGCTGGGCTTGAAGGGCCTGGGCGATGGCTGCCATGGTTGTTGACTCTGGTGTTTCTTATGAGGCTCCATAGCAAGAACTGAAGGCCATTCCGAAGTGTTTCAGAAATGCCCTGCACACAGACAGCAGCTTTTGAATGGTTACTTTTAAAGATTAATTCTTAGAGGATAACTTTTGCTTAGATGTTTACATTAAAAAAAATCAAGTAAGTAATCAGTAAGATAATTTTGCATTCATTTGCATTTGTTTACTAGTGATGAACAACTGAAAAATAATAGTGGCAACTGACATATGTTTAATATTTGGGAAATGAAAGCGAGCTATTAAAAGCAAGATTTTAATTCTCAATAAGAAAAATAGAATAAGATTTGAATAAATGAAGAGATACTTTCTGTTCCAGAATCAGAAGATTTAATATAGTTAAGCTGACATAATATCTAATCTAACTTACGGAGTTAACACAAATTAGATTCTCAATATGATATTTTGTGGAAATTGACAAAACCATAATAAGATTTCTATAGAAAAAATAATGGTGAAGCTCACTGAAGAGGTTTTTGAATAGGAATAAGCCAATAATAGGATAAATTACTTTTTAATATTTAAAGTATGATGCAAAGGACATTCAAATTGTATGGTATTGGATTCAGGGCAGAACAGTGGATTGATAAAAACATAATAGGGATTCCAGCAGTTCTAAATTTGCTAAAAAATTAACGAATAGTCGTCTTCTATAACCAGATAGTAAGGAAGGAATCCTATTTAACAAACATTATTGAGAAAGGTTGATATGAAGCACTTTCTGTCCTCCTCTGATGTAGGTTGTTAAAACAAGCTCCAGATGTTTTAAAGAATCAAAGTTGGAACTCTGTCTTTTAAAAGTGAAACAAAGTGGTATATTACAGTTATCCAGCTGTGGTGGAGGAAGTAATTTCTCAAGTATTAGAACAGTGGGCTAAATTACGATTGGTGAATTGGAAGGACCTGATCATATAGAAATTCAGCAACAACAACCTTAATAAATTCTTAACAAGAAGGAGAAAATGCAAAACTATTTGAAATAAGCAAGGCTGGTAAAAATCAACATTAAAAATGTAAAGAACAATTACAAATCTATAGGTCAGTACCTACTAGATAAAAGAAATAAAATAGTATAAGTAAAACAAAATACAGCCATCAAGCCTACATGTGGGAATATTTCAGTCTTGCTAATAATTACAGTGCAAATTAAAAGCGAACATGTATTTCATACCTACTGAAGTAGCAAAAATGATAAAACTCCATGTTAATGTGCTTGCGGGAAAACAGGCACACTCTCAGATTGCTGGTACGTTTCCTGGAGAGCAGGAGATCAAAATGAAACACATGCTGCCAAGAAAATTATTTGGTCCTTTGATGGAATACTCCAGAAGGAATAAATCTCAAGAAAATAAGATAAAAGAAGAAAGATTGTTTTTACAAAGGTTGTTTCTTTGTAGTGAAAATCTGGCCGTTACCTAACCACCTGGCAACTTGATAATGGTTGTGCAAACTCAAAAATATTAATATCCCATCCCATTAACAACTGTTAAAACCATATATCTGAGGATGTTGGCGCTATGATAGGGAGCATCTGTAGGTTAAAATGAAGAACGTGTTTGTTACGTGGACATTAATAACTGTCAAATTATGTTTGTCTAATGAAAACACCAGTGTTGTCAGGGTTTCTCAATGGGCTAAGTCAGTGCTTGTGGGACTTCAGAATGATTTAATCATCTGGGGATCTTGTTAAAAGGCAGGTTTTGATTCAGTAGAACTGCAGTGGGGTCTAAGATTCTAAATCTGCGACAAGCTCCCACCACGCTTTGAATAGCAAAGATTTAAATCTCTGCCATGCAATAGGGTAGTCACTAGTCATGTGTGGTGATTCAAATTTAAATTAAGTAAAATAGACAATTTAATTCTTAATTCTTGTTACCTATATTTCACATGCTTAGTGGTCGTGTATGGCTTACATCTTGGAAAACTGAGATTATAGAACAATTTCATCATTGTAGAAAGTTGTTATCAGACTTAAATCATCAGTCTTCAAGGGAAGGAGATTTGTATCTTTTTCTTCATAGAATTGTTTGATGTATACAATTAAGAGCTTGTTCTGTTCTTTTGTGCTCACAAATAATATAGGTTTACACTGGTATGTAAAGCAAAGAAGAGAGAAAACAAGGAGCAATTTCATATAATTTAAACTCTCTTTTCCCGTTGATTTTATTGTCAATCCATATTTACTCTTTGTCTCTCAACGAGCAATCATTTCTAATAAATTGGGTTCAGTTTCTTTGCCAGTTTTTTCCTGGTCTCACATCATTACTGTATACTAGAGGAGACATTGTTTAAAGAAGCATTGCAATAATTTAAAGTATAGATGTGTATAATTTGTGAAAAAAATCCTCATATTACCTCCTCCCATCTAAATATTTCACCAATTTATATTTTTGAAGTGTATTCTCTAAGCAGGACCAACCTGTATTAGTTACTAAAAGATATGGGCATTGATTTTCAGTGACTGAAAGTTCCCTGGGTGATTGCTTTTTCTTTACTTCTGTGAAGTGGAAACACTGACAATTGTCATTTCCTTCCAGGAATTTATGCAAATACTCTCACGACGTTCTCTCAGAGGAGAACTTCAAGGTCCTGAAAAATCATGAACTCTCTGGACTGAACAAAGAGGAATTAAGAGTGCTCCTCGTTCAAAATGACCCTTTCTTTTTGCCCGAGGTAAGTTCTCCCTCCAGGCAGGGAGAGTACCATTGGGAGTGTCTTGTCTTGGGTGTGCTTTAGTGCGAGCAGAGAACTCTGTGTGAGTGGGTGTGATCTGAAGAAATAATAGTAGGACTAACTGTTGCTTTACATCAGGGTGACCCCCTAGAAGAGGTGGGCTTTGAGTCAAGGTTTTGGAAGATGAGAGGGTGTATTGGTTGAGGGTACAGGCTAAGTTGTTGTAAGAAAGAGACCTCAAAATGCAGCGATTCAAATAAAATATTGCTTTGTTTTTCTATCACTTGGTAGCCTAAATCTGGGGTCATTAAACTACAGCCCTTGAGCCAGATCTGGCCTGCCACTTGTTTCTATAAATAAAGTTTTATTGGAACACAGCCACATCCATTCATTTACATATTGTCTATTGCTGCTTTCTCGATACAAGAATGAGTTGAGTAGCTGCAGCAGGAACTGAATGACCTGCAAAGCCTAAAATATTTGCTATTTGATCCTTTATAGAAATAGTTAGCCAACTTTTGGCCTTGCCTAAGATGTAGGCAGGCAGGTAGGCCAGTGGTCAGGCAGCTGGATTCCATGATGTCTTGCAGGGACTCAGACCAGCAGGTTAGCCCTGTAATCTTATATATAACCTATCTATTCTATTATTGGACTCAGGCCATTAGAGAATCTGTTCTCTTTCAACATGTGGCTTCCCTGTGCAGGTACAGTGACGCTCTTCTCATTGTCACCATTTTCTAGCCAGCAGGAGTGAGTGAAAGGCAAGCAGCTTCCTTTTCCAAAGCTGCAACTTGGACATATAGAGCGCATCTTCTCCCCTCTCATTTGCCAGAGCTTATCACGTGATCACACCTAAGTAGAAGGGAGGCTGGGAAATGTAGTTTCTGGCCAGGTAACTATGTGCCCAGTTGAAACTTGGGAGCTTCTATTATTAGAAGGAAGTTAAGGACAATGGCAGTCTCACACAGGAATATTGACTTGAAAATTGGAGGATGCTGTTTAAAGAATGGTATCTGACCTGAGAAAATCCTTGGGTAGAGAGGTTAGCCTCACACTGAAGGAGAGGCATAGAAACATATGGAAGACCCAAATGGAGTGGGTGGAAGGGATGGAGACAAGATAAGCAAGGTTGAAATTCCGATGTGCTTTTATAGACGACAAGATGGCTGTTAGGGGTACATCTGGAGGGTTAAACACCTTTTGACTGTAAGCTCAGTGTGTTTCCCTGAGGACTTAAAAAACTTAGGACCTGACGGGTGATTTTGAGTTGACCACTGATGATTTTACAGATGAACACATCTGTAAAAATGTGTTCGGAGAGGGAGAGGGGGAGGAATATATACCCAATTTCCTCTTGCATCTTTCATCCAGGTACTTGGATTCATCTCTGTGTCCAGGAGCCCAGGGAGTAGAAATCTTGTCTTGGAATCTCTATAGCCCTGGGCTCATAGGCGTGTCTAGTCCCTCCTGGCTGCCGGGACAGGGGAACCGCCTTACACACCAACCTAGTTAAAGTTCCTGTTGACAGGCAGAGGCATCCCCGCCTTTTCCTTTTCTGTGAAGAAGGGTGAAGTCTTGTTATGACCCTGGAGAGGAGTGTTGCCCTGTGGTCCCCTTAGTCTAGTGCTAAACTTGGAGGTTTGGAAAGCTCACTCATCGGGCCTGCTCTCTGCTTCAGTTCTCCAAATCACCAAGGACTTTTTATATCATGTCCTGGGAGAACAAGGGGAGTGGAAGCGCCTCCTTTCTCTGGTGAAGAACCTGCTAGAAGGTGCTGTTGCTGAGGAATCCCAGAAAAGGCCATGGACAAAAGTGAAGTGACGTCCTCCTAGAAAATGCTGTTGTCATCCTTTTATCCCAGAGTCCCAAGTGTCACCTGAGGCTCCCTTTCCCTTTTAAGAATTCAGTACCCATGATTAGTGGGTGGTGTGGGAAGCTTTGTGCCTGAAGTCTATTTTTAGCTAATAACTTAATTGCCATTTACCACTTGTCAGAGTTAAGATCACAGACTGGGAGACTGCACTGTTTCCTGAGCCAGAGGTCTGAGGAGCTGGTTCCTGTAGTGGGGAACTGACTAGAGCATCGATAACATAAGTGTCTGTTTGAAAATCCTGGGCCAGAGTCGTCTCTAACAGAGTGTTTTAACTTGAGGAAGTAGGGCAGGAGGAGTTCAACGAGAGTTCAACTAGTTCCATGGATAGTTGGTCAAGGATGGTCTGTCCATGTCTCTCAGAGTCCTGACTGCCACTCACTACCTGTGAACAAGGCATTTAATCCTTTTGGGTCTCACTGCAGTTCTTTGTTTCGTATTTGTTCAACTAACACTCAGGAGTGCCTGTAAGTGGTAGGCACTAAGTTAAATCCTAAAGGCAGCAGTGGATAAGACACACCACCTGCCCCCCACCTTTTTTTGGGCTGTGGACAGGTGATTAGATTTACTATTTACTTATTTTAATGGAGGTACCGGGGATTGAACCCAGGACCTCCTACATGCTAAACACACACTCTCCCACTGAGCTGTACTCTTACTACTGAGCTACACCCTTCCCCCATTACTTGCCTTAAAAACTTAAAATGTTCATACTTTTTCACTTTGTCTTGACTTGTGAGGACATAGAAGCATCAGACAAATTTGACTGCCTGCTGTATAAACTTGTAAAATCGAATTGTGCTTATTAAAGGAAGAAATGCTTCCATTTGTTCTGGCAGGAGCATTCTTACTTAACCATCAGGCTGGTACTAGGAACGTTAACCAGAGTATCATTTGTGAAGTTGCTAATTGTTCCCTTTTTACCAGAGCCTCTAAAACACTGGATCTCAAGCATTAGGGTGCATCAGAATTTGCTGGGGGGTTTGTCAAACCCAGGTTGCTGGCCCCACCTCTGGCAGTTCTGACTCTGCAGATGTGGGGAAGGACCTGGGGATTTGTATTTCTAATATATTTCCAGTTGGAGGTGACACTGCTGGTCCAGGGACCACACTTTGAGAAGTGCTGGTCTAGAGTCCCTGGAGTCTAGAATCTGGATAGTAGGATCAGTAACAATAATGCCTATTTGCATCCCGTTTTAGAAATTGTTTGTGTGGCTAAATCATGGCTGCTAGAGTCTGATTCTGTGTCTTTGCCCCTTGGGTACATCACAGTGAATCGTGCTGACCTGGTTTGCTCAGAGTCTGAGACAACTTATAAATGTTTTCATCTTTAAGAGTCCTTTTGTAATGATTCAAACCTTTGTCTCACATTTTATATTTTGTACAACATATTTACTAATTTTTTTTTAATTTAATCTGCTGCAACTTGATTAGGTAAGGACAGCAAATATTTTCCTCCTTTACCGGAAAGGAAAGAGGCTGGGAGCAAGTAAGCAAATCAGGTGAGGTCACGTGTCCCTGTTCCAGGGCTGCAGACTTAAACCAACATCTTCTAGTCCTGCATCAGGTGGTCTGGCCTCAGGGACAGTATTTCCTCTGCCCTGCTTTTAGTGAGAACTACATCTCTGTGGAGCTAGATATGTGGATATACCTATTTACATAGAAATATAAACATTATCTTGTTTACTTGATCTTTTGAGAAATTGCCACGCTCCGCCTCGCTTAGAGTCTAGATTCCCAACAGGTGCAGGTAAGACATTTGTATCCTTTTAACTGTAGAATGAGTTGATATCCAAAGACAGTCCTTTCTCTTTGGGGTTCCTTTATAATTTGGGCTCTCTTTGGGTCCTGTTTGGTCCTATCTGTGGCTGGCCATCTTCTATCGATTCTTCCAAAGGAAGGTAATCATATTCATGTTTCTTTGTTAGTCTATAGGCCTATTCTGCCCCCGATAAATCATCAGTTGAATACAACTCACCAAAGATAATGGATACAAGTCCATTTTTTTCCATATATCTCTGCTTACTTCTGAAATTTTTATATAAACATTCCTTAGTGAATGTGTGGCATGTATAGAAACATGTTTTATCTCTGGCTGTTGTCTTCTCTTCTGTAGATATGCAAACATTATAAGGGCGAGGGTGGAAGACAGATTTGTAAGCAGCAGCCACCATGTGAAAGGCTCCACGTCTGCGAACACTTTACCCGAGGGGATTGTGGTTACGCCAACTGCTTCAGGTCCCACAACCTGATGGACAGAAAGGTGCTGGTGATCATGAAGGAACACGGCCTGAGCTCAAGCGTGGTCCAGAACATCCAGGACATCTGCAACAGCAGGCACAGCCGAAAGAAGTCCTCTGGCTGGAAAGGTAAGTGCTTTCTCATTAAAAAAAAATTTTTTTTGAAGTGTAGTTGATTTACAATGTGAGTTTCAGGCGTACAGCAAAGTGATTCAGTTACATATATACATACATAGATTTTTTTCTTTTCAGATTTTTTCCATGATTTATTATTACAAGAAATTGAATATAGTTCCCTGTGCTATACAGTAGGTCCTGGTTGTTTACCTATTTTATTTATAGTAGTATGTGTCTATTAATCCCCAACCTCTACTTTTTAATTAATAGAACAAACAGAGGGGGAGGGTATAGCTCAGTGGTTAGTGTACATGCTTAGCAAGCACTAGGTCCTGGGTTCAATCCCCAATACCTCCATTTAAAAAAAACCTAAATAAATAAATAAACCTAATTACCTCCCCCCAAACAAAAACAGTCAAACAAAAATTAGAACAAGGGCAGAAATAAACAAACCACAAGGAGGGAGAAACTTTACCTAGGATCACTCTACCTTTTACCTGTGATCACTCATCTCATCAAACTCTGTTTTCCTTTTCAGATGTTGTCCATACACATACACAGTTTTTACATAATTATGATCATAGTTACGCATGTGATTTTGCAGTTTGATTTTTATGCTAAGCCCTATCCCCCCAACAAGAGATTAAAAAAAAAGTCTTATCATTTTTCTAAAAGCTAATTGATAAAACTTTTTTAAGGGGGAAAAATAAAAATGTTAAGGATTGACCAGGTGTTAACATTTTGTCCCAGTCGTTTTGCCTCTTTCTCTCCGTATATGTGGACATACAGATACTCACACACACGCGACCGTTTCATCGTTAAAGCATCTGAGGTGTGCCGTCTTCAGGAGACTTCCCTCATCACTTTGCTGATTGACTCAGTGTATCAGCACGTCCCTCCTCAAAACAAGGCCGCTCTCTTCCATAACCATGAGACAGTTAACACAGGAAGTTGCGTATTCATGCAACACTGTATACAATTTAATTTACAGTCCTCAGTACTGTTTCTTGTCAAATTTCTTTATGTTTATTTTTAAAAGTTTGTCAAATATAATATAAAATTGGCCATTTTAACCAAAGTGTCATTCAGTGGCATTATGTTCCCATTGTTGTGTGAGCATCACCCTCATCCACTTCCAGAGCTTCATCATCTTCCCAAACTGAAACGCCTACTGAACAAGAACCCCGTTCTCCCCTTCCTCCAGCCCCTGACAGCCCCCCTGCTGCTTTCTGTCTCTGTGGGTCTGACTGCTCCACCTGCTTCACGGGAGTGGAGTCACATAGGATTTGCCTTTCTGTGACTGGTTTATTTCGCTCACCACAGTGTCTTCAAGTTTCATCCAGTCCAGGTTATGGCATGATAGAGTTTCCTTCCTTTTAAAAAAAAG